TTGGACTGCAAGGAGATCAAACCAGTCCATCCTAAATGAAGTCAACCTGAATATTCATTGGAAGGACTGATGCTGAAGCTGAAGCCCCAATACTTTGGCCACCTGATGTGAAGAGTAGACTCATTGGAAAAGACCTTGATGCTGGGAAAGATTGAAGGGCAGGAGGAGAAGGGGACGACAGAGGATGAGATGGTTGGATGACATCACTGACTCAATGGACATGAGTTTGAGCAAGCTCTGGGAGAGAGTGAAGGACAGGGAAGCTTGGTGTCTGCAGTCCATGGTGTTGCAAAAAGTCGGACATGACTTAGTGACTGAACAACAAAATATGCCAAACCCTGCTTCTAGCTGCTGAAGCACAGTTATAATTTAAAAAATTAACACAATCCCTTTGCCCTGGAACTCTAGAAAGACAAGAAACACAAGAAATAAGTAGATGGCAGAGCTTGCTGCATAGCGAGGGATGCTGATGAGAAGGAGAGAGCAGGGCAGGGGGTTAGGAGCAGATGAGGTGGGCGATCCCCATGTGCATTGCTGCATCATGACAGGGGGACAGCCGGGGAGGCCCCCGGAGAAGACAGTGCTTTTGAGGAAGTGCCTGGAGAAAGTGAGGGAAGCACCTTGGGGTCTAAGGTGGGGGAGCAGCAGGTGACAGGGCCCTGAGGTGGGCTTGTGCCCAGACTGATGGGGAGAAAGGAAGCTGGGGGCTGCCAGGAAGGGATGAGGTTGGAGGGGCACGACAGGGGCCGGGTCGCTCAGGTTCAGTGAGGACTGTGACCCCGGAAGAGCGGGAGGCTGTTGGAAGGTCCTGAGCGAGGCCGTGGCCTGATCTCCCATCTCAGTGGAGAATGAGCCTCAGGAAGGAGCGTGGAAGCAGAGGGATGAGCTTGGAGACGCAGGTGACAACCGGCGGAGTCTGTCAGGGAAACGAGTGGCAGTTTACATGCTGTTTATGGTCTGTAATGCACACAACCTTTCCGAGCTGGGTTCCAACGACCAGCGCCTGAAACTGCCTCGGCACTTCACTGTTTACCTGGGGTTGGGCTGGCACGGACGAGCAGGGGAAGCCGTTCCAAGTACAAGCGAATAAGACAGCAAGCTACCTGCTTCCTGCCGCAGGGCGCCAACCAAAGATTCTATGTTTTCATTGCTGGAGCGTTGGGGTTCCTTGTGACCACTGCTTTAAAGCGAGTGTGTGCGCACACACACAGACACACACAGACACACACACACACAGTGTGTGTGTTCCCCTTTTCACTTTCTTATCAAAACAGCGAGTGACCTATTACATTCATGTAGGAGTGTGGCCCATGCGGAAAATTAAAGTTTATAGGGAATAAAATAGCCTTTTTGCATACTGGATTGGACCCTGCAACAGAAAACGGACATTAGGGAAAAATAAAACTGGTGAAGTCTGAATAAAGTCTGCAGTTGAGTTCGTTTGTACCGGTACTAACTGTGGACTCTGTGCTCTGTGCCCAGCCGTGTCTGACTCTTTGCCACTACATGGACTGCAGCTTTGCCAGGCTCCTTTGTCATGGGATTCTCCAGGCAAGAATACTCTAGAGGGTTGCCATGCCCCACTCCAGGGGACCTTCCCGACTCAGGGATTGAACCTGCGTCTCTTGTCTCCAGCATTGGCAGGCAGGTTCTTAAACACTAGTGCCACCTGGAAAGCCCAGCAGTACTAATCACTGGGCTTAAATGTGCCGTGGTTAGCGTCACAAACATATGATGCTAACAGTAGGAGCGGATGAAAGATGTATGTCAGCCTTCTGTACCTTCTTTGGCAAATTTTCTGTACGTTTAAAATCGTTCCAAAATAAAGTAATAAACAAAAGCACCCCACTTAGAGGGAAAAGAAAAACATGAGTGAAACCTTTGAATTTCTTTCAGCGATGAAATGGGTCCACAGATATATTCTGCACATTTAGAATTTTTATCTACCATTAAGAAGTAGGTTGCTGTTATGCAATATAGAGCTAGACAATGGTGTTTCCTCTGAGACAACAGGTCTTTCCTGTTCTTCACTTCATTTTGATTGAACTACATTGCAAATATTGGGTTTTCCATGTTATGGAAAAACTCAAACAAACTTTTTGGCTGACTCCATACTTGTCCCCTGCATTAAATGTCCAGGCATGACTCTTACTCTCCTCTGCTTGGGAAATGGGTATTTTTCAGTACGATTCACACCCTAAACCCTGTCATTTGTTGATTTCCCTTCCCTCTGCCTTCCCCCCCATCTTGAGTCTTCATCCTTGCTGTATGTCACCCCCTCACTGAATAAATGTCACTAAATGTAACTGGTCCTAGAACTACTTTGCCACCTTCTTCTTTTCTTAAACCTAAACATGACCTTTCTTGGTTTGCTGTTCTGAAGCTTTGGGGAAAGAAATTTGCCATTATATTAAAAAAAAAAATTCTGACATTCTCCATGTCTGATTATATAGACCAGGAATGATGATCTCAAATGTCTCTATGGCCCAGGTCAACCATGTGGCGATATGAGACAGCTGAGACTAACAGATGCAACAGATAACCAGTGGGAATCTGTCCTGTGATGCAGGGGGCTCAAATCTGGTGCTCTGTGACAGCCTGGAGGGGCGGGAGGGAGGTTCTCGAGGGAGGGGACGTGTGTATACCTATGGCTGACTCATGCTGATGGATGGCAGAAACTAACACAATACTGTAAAGCAACTAACTCCCAATTAAAAATAAAATTAAAAAAACTAAAAAAAAAAAAACCCCACCCCAAGACAAAGAGTAATAGATAAAGAAACTGGCATTGCCTACCTGATTTTAAGATGGTTCTCATTTGGTTTTTCCTGCGAAGTTGTATTTTTCTTAGAACCTCAGGGAAATTTCAAATCTGTTTCCAAGTAAGATGCTTTCTTCCCCCCCAACGTGCTTTATAAATGCAAGTTATTATTTAGTCAGGAAATGTGGGGAAATGTGATCAGTTGCGGTTTAGGTGGTAATGGGAAGGAATAAAAAAATATGACTCCACAGAGGGAGAAGATGGATGAGATTTTAACACAGCTGTGAATCAACAGTGATACTGGGAGGTCTTGGAGGATATTCTTGGTCACTAAGGCAGGACCATTTTTAGATCATTATAGAAAGATGACAGATATAACCTCAACCAAAAAAACTCAGGGGAGAAACTTACCTACTTATTGGGAAACAAATTCTTAAGTCTTACAATGGGTTAGACATTGCTCTCTCTGGAGTCTACCTTAAATTTCTGTGGCTCTAAATTAAGTCCCTGGTAGATAACAAAAAGAATACTAGCAACGTAATATTATTAATATCTCAGGGATGCATTAATGAAATGTTTACGATGCATTGGAAAGAAAGTGAAAGTGTTAGTTGCTCAGTTATGTCTGACTCTTTGTGACCCCATGGACTATAGCCCACCAGGCTCCTCTGTCCACAGAACTCTCTAGGCAAGAATACTGGAGTGGGTTGCCATTCCTTTCTCCAAAGAATCTTCCCAACCCCAGGATTAAACCTGGGTCTCCCGCATTGCAGGCAGATTCTTTACCATCTGAGCCCCTGGAAAGCCCCAAGATGCTCCAGATTAAAGACCAAAGTACTCACTGACTTAAGCATCCATGGTCAGGACCACATGATGTAGGAAAACATTAGGAGATGGAGCGTGTGGTGCTGGTCTTGGCTCCATCCTTCTTGCCGGTTGTATTCCAGGTCTATAGAGAACGACATTTCTTTGGGCCTCTCAGTGAAACAAGTAGCACACAGGTAACTCCCTGAAGGAGTTTCCCCGGGGAGCCTGGACATCCCCAGGATGCTCCCCCTTGCCCCTCCACCCCCCTTGCCGCACGCAGGCCTCCCCTGTTTTCAGAGCTCTGCTAAGTCACAGACGCTAAGCAGGTAAAGACACGGTCTCCCCACACCACAAAGCCAAGGACAACGATGGAGAGACTCCTTCATGAGGCAAGACAGTCTGCGCCTGGCTTCCGAAAGCCCAGAGCCTTGGAATGGTGAGAACATCCTGCCCAGTCCTCTGCCATGAGCAGATGAGACCACAGGCTAAATCCACACCATTCCATTTGAATCCCTGCTCTAGCACGCTCTGTCCTAAGGGAACAAGTGGGGCTGAATGGAACTGAACCCATCACAAGAGTCCTTTACATGTCCAAAGATACATGCTTTGAATTTGCCAACGGAGGCTTTCCAGTTCTTTCCGTTTTAAATCATGAAATAAAATTAAAAAGTAGCACTCAGAAGTGGGAAGGTTAGTCCTGATTTAAGGAGCCAATGGGGCTTCCCTGGTGACTCAGCTGGTAAAGAACCCTCCTGGCAATTTGGGAGATACAAGAGAGGCTGGTTCGATCCCTTGGTCAGGAAGATCCCCTGGAGAAGGAAACGGCAACCCACTCCAGTGTTCTTGCCTGGAAAATCCCATGGACAGAGGAGCCTGGCGGGCTACAGTCTAGGTGGTTGCAAGAAGTGGGACACGACTGGGCAACCAAACCTCCATCAAGGAACCCATGAGGTTCCACACGTGTCTCTGTGCTGGGTATTCTGGAAAAGTCTGTCCTTGTGATTCTGCCTGTCATACCTGGTTACGAAAGCTGCCAAGCCCCTGGATACCTTATCCTTGCTAGGACAAATAGCAACCAGGCCGTGCGAGGAGGAGGGAGGGGTTTTATCATGGACATCACGGCACATTTATGTACACAGCAGCACCAGAGACATTTTCATTCTCTGTCAGCGCTTATGGCAGTTTCACCAATCTCAAATCAAAATATTTTCCAGGTGCCTTTAAAAAAAAATCAATTTTCAGAGTCAACAGTGGCCAGGGGCTCCAGGGGTGAGCTCACTGCCCTTCCCCAGCAGCTCCTAGAGAGGCTGAACAGACGCTTCTCAGAGGTGGCTTCAGCGGACCTTCACTGACCACGGAGCCCCCATCCCACCCCCTGGGGACGGGGACACAGTCTGTTTTCCACTGGGGGCGGGGGAGCCGGGCGCCTCACCTCCCCCCAGGCCGCGGGCGGGGGCTCCACCGGAGGGTAGTACTGGGGCACGTCCCAGGCCACGGCTGCCATGAACCACTTGAAGTCCTTGCACTTGAGCTGTCTGCGCAGCTCCTTCTGCGCCGAGAGGTCCCCGGGGGACAGGTGCCGGTACTCCGGGCGCCGCTGGTAAATGTACTCGGCGAACTCGTCCATCCAGGTCTCTGCCACCCGCTTCAGGTTCTGCACAGGACAGAAGAGTGTCAGTGATGGGCCCGTGTCCCCACGGCGCAGCCCACTTGCCCTCGAGATGGAAAAACAAAGAACAGGAATTAGACAACCTCAGGCGGCTCTGGTGGTGAGTTTCCCTCAGTGCCGGAGGTGTGACAGTTAGCCTGAGGCCATGCATGCCTTTCTGCTTCTGGCATGGGGTTCCACTGCTAATTGGAGAGCTCAAATAAATGGGGCAGAGACAGTGAAGCACCGGCGGACAAGCTGATCAGCTTTCTCATCCTTGCTGTTATTGCCCAATGATGAATTCTTGGTTTCTCACCCAGAATAACAGGAGTTGGACCTGGAGGTAACAATGTTGCTCTTAGGCATCTGATCGCTTAAACCGGTTCAGGGAACAAGGAGGGATCTTGGCAAGAGTGAGGAGGAACCAGCTGTTCTCCCAGTCACAGTGAGAGAGCCCAGCAAGACTGAAACAAAGACCCTGGATTCTGATGATGCTTTGTACACATGGAAGCCCAGGAGAACTGAGTAATTCTTGGCACTGTGAGGTCGGCTAAGGGGGCACCAAGGACCTCTCTGGTGGAGCCATGGGGCAGAAAGCGGGGAGACGGCCCCTTAGAGGAAGGAGCGTGGGGGCTCAGGGAAGGAGGCGCAGCGCTTTTGCCAGTTTTGAGGTTAAACAGGTAACTTCTATGCTCTGGGTCTCAGATTCCTCCCCTGAAAAAGGGACATAGAGTCATCTGTCCCTCCATCATGGGAGTGGTGGCAGGATTAAGTAACACCTGGGTTTCAGTAGTCTCGCCTGGGAAATCCCATGGACAGAGAGGAGCCTGGTGGGCTGCAGTCCATGCGCTCACAAAAGAGTGAGTGACTAGCACTTTCATTTTTCACTTGCCTTATTTTAAACACCCAACTGGTGTGAATATTGACCCTTTCCAGCTCCTCATTTGCACTGAGAAGATAAAGTGAGCAGAAAGGCTGGGAACTCCACTAAGACCCAGAGACCAGTGACTCAAGTAACTAGGAATGTTTAGGAAAATTGTTTAACTTAAAAATTGCTACATGGTCCTGAATGAGACCTGACACCGTGCCGAGAGGGTTTGAAGACAGAGTCTCCAGGTACCTTATTCCTGGTGGAATTGTCTGCTTTCCCACTATGCTCACCTCCAGCCTCCCGGGAGGGCCTCCCTGCCATCTGACCTCGTTCCCAAACTTGCCACCGCGTCCTCCCTGGTCTCCTTGGTTAGCATGAGTAGGGCCCAGTTAGTCGGCAAGAGACAGAGAAGACACGATGCCATAAAGACTGCTCTGATTTCTTTCTTTTTTTTTTTAAGGTTTTTTTTTTTTTTTTGATGTGCACCATTTTTAAAGTCTATATTGAATTTGTTAGATACTACTTCTGTTTTATGTTTTTTGTTCACGAAGCATGTGGGCACTTAACTCCCTGAAAGAAGCCATTGTTAGTTGCTCATTCGTGTCTGCCTCTTTGCCACCCCATGGAGTAGGTAGCCCATCAGGCTCCTCTGTCCATGGGATTCTCCAGGCAAGAATACTGGAGTGGGTAGCCATTCCCTTCTGCAGGGGATCTTCCTGACCCAGTGATCAAACCAGGATCTCCTGCATTGCAGGTGGATTCTTTACCACTGAGCCACCTAGGAAACCCTTTTACTAAGTGGATGCATGGCTTAGAAATTCTGATAGCTTGCAAGAAAGATGTGTCACTAAGAAATCTGTTTGACTTGGGTAAATAAACACTTTTAGACTATAAATTCTGTGAAGTTAGGGGTAGGTAGTGTTTTTGTTTTAAATTAAAAGGCCCTAGTACATGTGTGTGCTCATCTGAGCTTGCTAACTGTGGAGTTAATAAAAGATCATATATAAAATGAACATGAGTAAACTCCTAGCTCATGCATGTATCTGTTGATAAAGGCACTGAAATAGAAACAGTAGTTTAAAAAACACTGCTGCTAAAGGGTAGATAGATATTTGCTGCTTTGGGTTTTTGAAATAGAAATAGGATTTCTTGTGAAAACTCAAAGAGGAATTGGTCAGTTCAGATGCGTTCAATTGGGAATGGCTGTAAGGGTCAGGATGAATGTTTGCCAGAAACAGCAACATGAATAAGTGAAAGAGGCAGGTGATGGCAGGTTGGAAGATGGTCAGCAACATCAGGGAGGCTGCAGGGTCACTGCAGGGTCGTTGACCTGGGAACCAGGCAGGTCGCTTTTGCATTATCACATCCTTTTCAATTGGAAATACTTGGTTGCAGGTTAGGTTTGCTGCTTTCCCAAACACTCCAAAGAAAGCCAGAAGATAATGGACACACTCCAGGGAAAAGGTCAAATCATCGAGCCCTTTTTGGTTACCTTTTCAGGAGATGGGAAAAGAGAACCAGCACAATAATTGCAAAAACTAATTGCCAGTGTCTCTCTAGCAGTGGGTGTTATGTAACCATTTAGGCAAACATATGAATCCTGACTGTTCTCTAATGCTCCGATGCCTTGTCAGACAGCCTCCACTGGAGATGCTCTGTTCTGAGTGCAGTTTCCCATCAGGAGGAAACTTTCTGAAGTGTCAACTATTGTAGACAAGGAACAGTCTAGAACAGTCCAGGTGATGGGTGAAATCATGTCATTCTGAAGGCATCATTCTGAAAATAACAAGACACCATGTGACCCTTACATTGTTGTTTTGAATTTGTACTTAGTTTTGGGGAAAACATTGGAACCTCAGCTGAGAAATATTTTAAGCAGCTGCAAGAAGCATTTCATTGGCCTTTCATAGATTGGAATAAGTTCACCCACTGCAGAAAATGGAATAATCACAGATACGTTTGAGCTCATCAGAATATTTGCATAGAAGCACATGTATTTAGAGGCTTCTCTGGTGGTGGCGCAGTGGTAAAGAATCCACCTGCCAATGCAGGAGATACAAGAGACGGGGGTTCGATCCCTGGGTAGGGAAGATCCCCTGGGGGAGGGCATGGCAACCCATGTTAGTATTCTTGCCTGTGGAGAACCCGGTAGACAGAGGAGCCTGGTGGGCTATAGTCCATGGAGTCCCACGAGTCAGACACAACAGGGTGCATGCACATACATGCACACACATACACACACCTACTTTGAAACACATGGAAGTGATGGAGTAGAAGCAGAGCGGTATTTCTCACTTAACATCGTTGGGAACACATGGACAGAATGGTGAAACTGACATCCCAAAACACATCTTGCCCAAGATGGTAATGAAGAGAATAGGGAATCAATGTGAGTGGGCCCTTCTGTCCTGAGATTACATAAGCCTTGGTGATGGTGCTAATATGTTAAAAATAAGTTATGAACAGGAAGAAGGAGGACAGTATGGATACTGAGTGATCTATGCATGCCATCATTCTTTCCCAAACTCTCAGGAGTTGGATGTAAAGGTTGCTTATGTATGTGGGGCCACAGTGATGCTGGGAAAGATTGAGGGCAGGAGGAGAAGGGGGCAACAGAGGTCGAGGTGGTTGGATGGCATCACTGACTCAATGGATGTGAGCCTGAGCAAATTCCAGGAGATAGTGAAGGACAGGGAAGCCTGGTGTGCTGCAGTCCATGGGGTTGCAGAGTCAGACTGAACAACAAGGTGTTAGGTGGGATTCCTGTTTTTTGAGATGTAAGTGAAATTGTGTTAATGCCAAATGATGCATTCCTGTCTTAGAAATTTGCATGGCTTCCCAGGTAAGCCAATGCACACATTCATGCTTCACTTTGATGTCCTGTTCTGGGATCCCTCCTTCCTTCCTGTCATCCTGCCCAGGCTTGCTCTCTGCCCTGGCCATGTGAGCTTTGTGGGTCACACACGCACTCTTCCTCACCTTTCAGACATGTATCTGAGAGATCGCGGTTCTGGACTTGGCAAATGTGAGGGAGAGGCAGAGACGTAGCTGCCAGTAGTAGGATGGAAGCTTGGACTTGTTTCATATTTATTGTTTTAAAAAAAATACATATTTGTTTATTTGGCTGGAATTGGTCTTAATAGGAAAAGGAGTATGTCAAGGCTGTATATTGTCACCCTGCTTATTTAACTTATATACAGAGTACATCATGAGAAACGCTGGGCTGGAAGAAGCACAAGCTGGAATCAAGATTGCTGGGAGAAATATCAATAACTTCAGATATGCAGGTGACACCACCCTTATGGCAGAAAGTGAAGAGGAACTAAAAAGCCTCTTGATGAAAGTGAAAGAGGAGAGTGAAAAAGTTGGCTTAAAGCTCAACATTCAGAAAACTAAGATCATGGTATCTGGTCCCATCACTTCATGGCAAATAGATGGGGAAACAGTGGAAGCAGTGTCAGACTTTATTTTTTTGGGATCCAAAATCACTGCAGATGGTGATTGCAGCCATGAAATTAAAAGACGCTTACTCCTTGGAAGGAAAGTTATGACCAACCTAGACAGCATATTAAAAAGCAGAGACATTACTTTGCCAACAAAGGTCCGTCTAGTCATGGCTATGGTTTTTCCAGTGGTCATGTATGGATGTGAGAATTGGACTATGAAGAAAGCTGAGCGCCGAAGAATTGATGCTTTTGGACTGTTGTGTTGGAGAAGACTCTTGAGAGTCCCTTGGACTGTCCCTTGGAGATCCAACCAGTCCATCATAAAGGAGATCAGTCCTGGGTGTTCATTGGAAGGACTGATGCTGAAGCTGAATCTCCAGTACTTTGGCCACCTGATGTGAAGAGTTGACTAATTGGAAAAGACCCCGATGCTGGGAGGGATTGGGGGCAGGAGGAGAAGGGAACGACAGAGGATGAGATGGCTGGGTGGCATCACCGACTTAATGGATATGAGTTTGAGTAAACTCCGGGTGTTGGTGATGGACAGAGAGGCCTGGCATGCTGTGATTTATGGGGTCACAAAGAGTTGAACATGACTGAGCGACTCAACTGAACTGAACTGGTCTTAATTGCTGCATGTGGGATCTAGTTCCCTGACCAGGGGTTGAACCCAGGCCCCCTTTGTTGGG